TCCACAAAAAGTTGTAAGTTCAAAATAATGTTTTCGTTTATTTATGATTTTATTAAGCTAGCATTTTTGTTTTTCTTATTTTTCTGGTTATAAACACAATTATATCAACAAAAACAGAGAATGTGTCAAAGATACTCTCTGTCTCTTTTTAATTACTTGTCCAATTTTGACTTTTTATTTATTAGTTTTGACAAATCAAGAAAAGACAATTATTTTTTTTATCTATTATATCCTCAATTTATTTAAAGAGTTGATGTTTTTGAAAAATGTAGAATCTTTTTAATGAGTAAATTGATTTTAAATTTCTATCAACTAATAGGAATAAAATGATAAACTCATTATGTCAAAAAAAAAATTAATAAATGTGTCAAGTCAAAATTGGAGAAGTAAATAAGGACAAAAGGGAGTATGTGATCAACACAAATATTGCACAAGAAGGTGTGATTTTTCCAATGGAGATTGCTCACTATTTTTGGAGTTATTATTGGGAATGTATTTCATCACAATTGCAAAGAATCTACCACAATTTCAAAAAATGTCTTTATGTGTTTTTTGATAATTTTTTAATTTAGTTTTAATTTTCATATGATATGTTCAAAGATCACAAGATTAAAAATTATTTTGATATATTCAACAAATCTTTTAGTTTAAGTCTATAAAATTTAAAAATCTTTTGAATTTTTATAAACTTCATATAAAATCAAATCAGAAAACAAATCAAACCAAACAGACAAATATCATATAATAAATTGCTACCTACTTGCAAGTCAACCTTCTCCATATTACTTGAACAAAAAACAAAATCCCCCAATAAATATTGTTGCTTATAAATGAAATTAAACAAAACATAGACCTTTGAACTTTAAACTAGACAACTATGACATTTCATATATAGTTGCGCTCGCCTTCACTCAAAAACTCTACGCCCCCTATTAGAGTAAAGCATGCTCTCGAAAGGGATTAACAAGGCCAGCTACATCGGCAAAATTGAGTAGGTAAAGATGGGTCACTCCAGCAGATAGCTTTGACATTTAAACCGTGTCTATTTTGACATTCGCTCCAGCATTGCACGCCAGGCTCGCTTCCTTCGCAGTCTATTGTCACCCACGGCAGCCCTTCGCTACATTCTTTTGCCTCAATCCCTATCACGCATCAACAAATTTTGTTAATATCCCTGTCTCAATTTAAGTGACTTAATTTGATCAAATGTAAAGTTATAACAAATAAGAGACTCTTAAAGTAAAATGTTTGAATTTAAAATATGAATCGGAGATTATTCTTTTTTAACAATAATAACAACAACATATCCAGTGAATCCATAAAGTAGGGCATGGGGAAGATAAAGTGTACATAGATTTTACGAGATATAGAAGTTGTTTCTCATAAACTTTGTCTATTTTAAAAAAAAATTGAGACACTTAAATTAAAAGTGAGGAAGTATATAAAAAGCAAAATACCTGAGAGAAGGAATGCAATGAAAAGAATGCCATAAAGAATTTTTGGGACGCTGGGATTTTTCATTTTTTATTTTTTTTGAGGTTATGAAATTGTGTCTAATTAACACTTTTTTCTCTTCATTTATAGTAGAGTTTTGGGAATGTTTATGGGAAATTAATATTACTTGAATATTTATTGTGTGGGTTTTTGATTTAGGGATTATTCGTATCTGCAAATCTTGACTTTTCTCTATTTAGTATGGTATTTCATTGGTAATGCTAAATGACTAGAAAATTTGGTCAAAATTTGACCAAAATTAAAAGTCTATAATAACCTTTTTATTTTAAAATAAACTGATTTTCTTTCCATTTTGCAATTAAAAGATATTAAAGTTAAAATGATAAAAATATTCAAAAAGGTAAATTAAATAGTGTGAAATATGTTATTTTTCCATTCTGGTCAAATTCTTGCCAGATTTTCTGGCCAACAGGATTTTTCCTATCTCATTTACTTCTGCAGACCATTTGATAATCTTAAAACACCTCTTGTTATTTCTGCTTCTTTAGTCTTGAAAATTACGTATCATTATACCATTTCACATTTTTCCCTTAAACCGAATAAAAGAACTGTCTCTGTATTTATTTATTTATCAATTTTTGCCTTGACACATCTATTAAAAAAAATAAAAATGGCATAGTAAATTTACTATTTTATTTCTATTAATTGATAGAATTTCAAAATTAATTTACTCATTAAAGATGTTTTACCTTTTTCAAAAAACATTAACTCTCTAAATAAATTGAGGATATAATAAGTAAAAAATATTGTCTTTTCTTGATTTGTCAAAAATGACAAGTACAAAGTCAAAATTGGAAGGACAGAGGTAGTAACATATATTTGGAGATCGTTATACATTAAATGTGAATATTATGCAGTGGCGGATCTAGGATTTAGACTCCCTGGGTGCCAAATAGGCTTATCGATTAAATTAATTTTATATTTGATTAAATTATGCGTCTTTTCGATATAAATTAATTTTAGTTCTCTAATTTTTCTTAAAAGAACGTGTGCAGCAATTTTCTTTTTCTTAAAAAAACTTCTTTCTCAAAAAAATAGGTACAAATGGGATTCAAACCCATGGCACCACAAGCCAATTTTGTTCTATGGGTGGCACGCTTTATATAAATATAAATATTTTATATATATATATATATATACCTATGTATATATAGAGTTTCCGTCGAAGTTCGGGGATGGCGTGGCACCCCCACACCCCCTTAATAGATCCGCCTCTGATATTATGTATCATTGATTTACTTTTGTTTGAGATAGGGAAATATTTATTTTTACCTTTTAATTCTTCAAATTTTACTACACATAGTTACCACTTGGTTTCGAGCCGTTAATATGGATCATCTCAATCAAATTCGTTATATGAGACAATTTAGTGTGTTTGGTATGATGATAATATTTTCTAGAATATTTTTTTTTTCATGTTAGGTTGAAATAAATTTAGAAAATTCTAGAAAAACGACTTTCTTATGGGCAAAAGGGAAATATAATAAATTTTATAAGTGATATTTCATATTAATTGTCTATATCCATCTCCGGTACAACCCCCCTCCCCCCATAGCCCCTACTCCACTACCCCACAGCCTCCCATGCTAACACTAATAAAAAAAAAAGTAAGAAAATCAATCACATATTTCTTAGGAAAAAAATTTCCATGAAAAACATTTTTGTTTACACCAACACACCCGAAGGGACTAGATTATGGCTTGTGGATCCAAAATATTTTTTTTAAAAAAATAAAACCAATTCTCATCAAACAAAAAGATAATAAAAGTCCCAAATCAAAAAATCTTTTATTTTCTAAGTCTTTCATTTTTCTTTTTTAAATCCATTGTCTAGAATTTAGTTGGATTGATGGGATATTCGTCTTTGTTTTGATATTTCGTTTATGACCATGATAAAAATTGTAATTATTGCGTATAGAATTCTTTCTCCTAATTAAATCCTTGAATATATATGATAGTGTTTATTTTTCTTTTTTCTTTCTTCTATTTTATAAATAGAAGAACATTAAATCTAACACAACCCTCAAAATTAATTTAAATGACAAACGCGAAGGACTTGTAAATTTTTGTATGCTATCAAAATGCACTAATTAGTTTCATCTCTTTTCCTAACTTCAAAAGAATATAGCATTACCATTATATTGACAACTTTTGTTACATTCACAGTATTTGTTTGAAAGTTTTATGGCTAATATAATGAGATATTGTTATATATGTATACCAATATTTGATGTTTAGATCTCATTTACCTGTTATAAGTATAACGAATAAAGAATTTAGTGGCAATAATATAATTGCCGCTCTATTATATTTAGTGGCAATAATATAAGTGTTTCTATATTATATTTAGCGTCAATAATAAATATGAATATTTATAATCAACACTTGTATATAAATATTGTTAAAAGCTTTAGCGACTCTGAATACAATGACATTAACTGATCAATTACCGTTCAATATTATAAGGAAATTTTTGTTGTAGTAGTGTATATATATATACAAAGGTACACAAAAAAATTAGTTTAATAATTTCATGTACCAGAAAAATGAAGGCATGTCTTATAATTTTTTCACTTTTAGATACCCGTATTGAATTTTCTAAGTGTTTGGCATTAATGATGATTACTAATACTATAAACACTTTAATATTTTACTTTTATACATGATCTATTTCTTATAAAATTATTACATAATATCTGAGTATAACTATTATAAAGGGGTAATTTTATAAAAAAGATATATATTGTTGTAATGAATATGATTGTTGTAATAGGTAGAATATTGTTATAAAAACTAAATTATAACATAAAAAATCGATTCGGGATAAAATCATACCGTTATGATAATATGGTCATTATAACGTGGTTTAACTCTTCTTTTTCCCAGTAAATGATGCATTCTATTCCAGAAGCAAAAGGCTATAGAGTAGGACCAAGACTTAACTCATACTAGAAAAGCTAGATGATAAGTCATCCTTACAATTATAGCTTACAAAAATAAAAAAGCAAAAGAGGGCCGGGGATTCCTCCTAATACAGTTAAATTAGGCCTTCCAAATTCATAAATTAGAATTTCTAACTTTTGATTTCTAACCCGTGCGCTGACTAGTCAAAAATCAATCCAAACGGACTCGCGCTTGGGCTAACGTCCTTTGAAAGACCCTCCAAAGTACATAATAATGTGTTGGACCATGGAATGATATTTTAAATTTTCTTGAAGAGCTGTGTATAGTTGACCATGAGCTAGCTTTGTGGTGCAGAGGGGTCAAGCTAGTGACAGGTAAACTACTACCTGTTTGACTTGTCTTTGAGGGCATGAATAATGTAATATGGACCCATATAACTCGTGTGTGGAAAAATTGTACAATATTCCAAGAAAGAACGTACCTGTCCACATTAATTAGGTTTTTGGATTATACTACTCCTAGAGTATATATTATGTTATAGCCCAACTTCTCCAAAATAAAAACACCAAAGTTTGGATTTTCTTTTTTTTTGAAAATTATTCTGGAAAAAGAAGGTTAACTAGCTAATTCAAGGTGAAGCTGGGAATTGAAGGTACGTACTTTATAATACGTTTAGGAAGATATATATAGATATTGATGTGGCTCAATCTGAAGACATGGCTAAATATGTAATTAGCCATGTGATTTTGGATTGAGCCGCGTCAATATCTCTCTCTTCCTATTTCCAGTTACTTTACATGTCTTCTTCTTGCTTAGGTAAATAACTCGAGCTTTATTTAATTACTCCTAGGTAGTTGTTTTGTTTCATGTGTTCCTCTTCGCCATGCATTTTAATAATTTTTTTTACTAATTTTTCTGGTTTTTAATAAGTTTTGATTTCTTCTTATATATATATATCATCTTTGCCTCCATTCTTTTGTTGCCGTTCCTTTATAAACGTTTTTGGATTAGATTAATTAATCATATACACGAATGAATCGATCAAGGAGCTAGCAGGAAAATTGATGCTTGAGTTGCATGTTTTTTTTTTTTTTTTTTTACTTTTTAGGGTAATTGTAACCTACTTTTGCTTATATATTTCTTTAATAATTTGAATTTCAAGGTAGCTTTATTACCTCAAATAATTACCTTTCCTCCTGATTTCAATTTTCTTCAATAAAAAAGTGTCTTTTTTAAGATAATAAGTACTTAGTTGAGTAATCATATGAATAATTTAACTCCAGAAATTCTCAAATTGGTTCGAAATCCCGTGAACACGGTCAATCAATCAGTTTTTTAATTCCGTTAATATTAAGACATATCTCACTTTTAGCCTTTCCTTTTTCGGTCATATTATCCCTAGTTTCACCGGCCAAGTGTCACGTCAACACTAATCATAAAGATAATCGAAATTTAAAGTTTATGTATTCACGATTCTATTTTTTTTTTTTGAGTTATTAGGTTTTAATTAATTAATAATCTTTATATATTCATTATGCTTTGTACGATAAATATAATTTTTTTGACTAAAGTTATTACGGTCGAGTCTATAATCTATATTCTAGCTTCGCCTTGACTGGTCACCCAATTTCATTGTATTCCTATATATGTTTGTTTTTGTTTCAGTCTACTCAGGGAAACACAACTTAATTAATATTTGAAAACACAACTAAACCACACATAAAATTGTTGACGTAAACATATTTTAATGGAAATAAGTTAAATTTTTCGTTCATTTATTTTTGGAAGGAGTAGGGCAGGTGGATGGGTAGAGAGTTGATGAGAAGACAATTTCAACTTTGATCAATGAATTCATATTCATTTTTCTAACTAGGGTGAAATTATGATTGATAGGTAATAGATATGTCGTTGAAATAAAATTCACATATTTAAAATTCAAATAATGTCAGATAAATTGAAATGAAGAGAGTATTATAAAATAATAATTACGTGAAGGGCTAAAACTAGCTAGAGACAATATATGACGTTAATGAATCATCATCGACGCATCATGTTTTGCCATGAAATAACTTTGGGTTTAATTGGAATAATTAAAATATGCAACGTGTTTTAACCCCAATTAAATAATTTGTGACGATGACAAAAATTTCAAATCATAAGTCCCACTTTTGAGAGATACGTCTGGATTTGGAGACAAATCTGTTTTTTGGTAGTATTCAGTATTCACCATTTTCTAGATTTCTTTTTACATGGATATACACCATAGTATTTTATCTTACTTGCACCAAGAATTTTTTCAGTAACGAATACTTCATTACTTTCTCCGTCTCAAAATATTTATTGTAATTTTCATTTCCACGTCCTTTTAAAAAAAATATTAATTAAATGTGATGTTTGACAATTGTTTAAGTCCTTAAGATGTAATCTTTGTTTATCAAATATTTATTCTATTTTGCATATCACAACTCTCACACAAGACAAGAGGGAGTTTGTTTGAATAGTAAACACCTCTCACTTCCAACATCCACCCTGAAAGGTTGTGAGTTCGAGTTCCAAAGGAGCAAAAAGGGTAAAAACCACTTTCTAGCCATTGTGCATCGACATTTTGCTGATATACATATAGTTAAGTACAGCTTACAATTGAGTCTGATGCTCAATTAATCCACTTTTATATGTGGAGATAGGAGAGACTCTGGATACACGTATTTCTGTAATCCGGTCAGGTCCAAAAGTATCTTGCTGGGGGTCTCGGTTGTTGGTTTCCCTGGCCCCGGGATCAAGAACCAATGTTGGAACCAATCTACAACCTCGGGAAAAAAAAGTACGTAGATGAAAAATGTCTTGAACCATAGTGGCTCCGTTAGGTACTTGTCTCCACGACATGCACTTTTCACTATTGATCTCGCACACTTTTCCACTGGCAATATTGGAGTCACGCTCATCTCAACCTGGTAGCAATCACAGCAATCGTAAAAGTACACATCTCACTCATACCGTAAACTGTAGATGAGGTAATCACACAACTCAGGACACAATTTAGCGTTTTGATAAAATCTTAGACATTTATAATACATAATCAAAAGAAGAAGTAACTTACATCTCTCATTACTTGGTCTACTTCCAACTTGCCTTCGGTTGTGAGAAATTTGCCTTTAGTCATCTCAGATTCGATTAGTCCTGGAGTAACAATCGTAATCCCAATTTGTGTCCCAAGTTCTACCCTCAACGTCTCGAAGAAACTAATCAATGCAGCTTTACTCGCCTAAAGCAACACCAAAATTAACATCGATCAAAATCAACTAGGCATTAAAAAAAACTGAAACTGAAAGTCATAGACAGATTAATATACATTATAGAAGCTGATTCTGGCTGCAGGTAAATAACCAGCTGACGAAGTGATTGCTACGATTTTGCCCTTGGTTTCCTTCAAATAGGGAATTGCAAAATGCGTAGTATAAACTGCACCCCAGAAATTTATGTCCTGAAACGTATAATTAATCCTGTTCTGTTATCCAAAATGTTCATAAATCGAACAAACTCGGAGATATGTACACAATTACCATTGCAGGTGCAGCATTGGTGACCTCTACAAGGTCCTCAAACATGTATAGAGGCGTCACAGCAGCATTACTCACCAGATGATCCACTACACGAAAATTAGCAATAATCATTTTCACTTAATAAAATCTTTGGATGTTTAAGTTTTTCATTTTCTATACTTACATCTACCAAAATTGCTTATAGTTTCCTCGATTAATCGCTGGCAATCTTCGACTTTGGATACATCAGCATGTATAGAGATAACACGAGGAGATCCAAGCCAATAGGCCATATCTGCTACTTGTTCAAGACTCTTGCGCCTTCGTGCCGCAAGGACTAATCGTGCACCTTTTTTAGCATATTCATATGCTAAATGCTTCAATTACATAACAAACTCAAATTAATCAACCAACCCTTGCATTTAAGTTTTTTAAAAGGACATATTCCTCTAATAATGATATGATTAATCTAGCAAAGAATTAAGTTATATATACCTCAGTATGGCAAAATCAAACCAACCCGCCTAACTCGACCCAACCCATTTAGGTTTGGGTTGTTCAACTCATTTTAATCCATTTTAATGGATTGATATATAACCCAAATTGATTTTTGAGAAATTTTGTAAAAAAATTATTTTATATGTTATATATAACTATAATAAAGAATTTTTTTTTATTAGTTACTAAAAGCTTATAATATAACAAATAAAGCTATTAAAACTTAGTAAAAATTGAACAGGTTAGGTTGGGCTATGACCAGTTAGCTAACCCGTTTCGACCCAATCCATTTTGGCCCAAACAAATTGGGTTGGATCGGGTCTTGACCCATTTGACCCACCCAAATTTAACTCAACCCGCCCAATTGCCAACCCTATGAAGTGTCAAATGAATGGATTGGACAAAATTTGAGTCGGGTTAAAATAAATTGGGTTAACAAATTCAAAGATTACTAGAGTACTTGAATTGAAATGGACAGGAGTCAAGATGGCTAAACAATCAAAATGAACTGATTAAATAATAATTTTGGACGGTAGAACCGATCTTTTTTTATTTTTTGGGGACTAATTTAGTCACCTAACTAAAATTTGCATGAACTGATATATATATATATATATTTGCACCGGTGAAGCATAGATCTTGAACTCATTTAGAAGTGTAGAAATTAATGTTGGGTACAAATTACCTCGCCAATACCCGAAGAGGCACCTGTGATGACAACAACTTTACCAGCAACGTTTTCGATAAATATACAACGGAAAATGAAGTAAAGAAACTTGAGAAAGAGATATAGAGGCATGAAATGGATGAGTGCTGTTGTTGCAATATGTGGTAAATAAGTGTTCAATAATTTATGAATCAAATTCAAGATAAACTCCATGGCTAGAGAATATTAGAGTAATAAGATGGGGTTGTTTATTTTAATTTGTAGGAGTAGGAGGGACGACATATCTCGTGATGATGTGCTCAAAAGGGCATAGAACGTGGCAGAAAAAAAAATAGGCAACATTGCATGAAATGAAACTGACACGTACCCCTCTCTTTGACCATTGCATAAACAAAATTCAAAAATCATGTCTTCAAAGTGAAATAAAAAAATTAAATTATGTTTAGATATAAAATATTTCTTCAGTCTCATTTCATGTGAATTAATTTGACTTGACATGATTTTTTTTTAAAAAAAGATTTTTAAAACTTGTGATCTAAAATAAGTGATAAATATTCATATTATTGTAAATTAAAATAAATATTTTAACATTAAATTATTACTTATAATAAAAATCCGTCATTCTTTTTAGAACTAACTAAAAAAAATCATTTAAAATTCATATAAACTTTACATAGATATAGCGAGTCTTATCGGGTTTTTCCTCAGAAAAGGCTCCACCAACCCCCATGAAACATGTTTTACCTTGCTATGAAGTATTGCGTGACCAAAAGTTTTATATTGATATCTAAAGAAAAATTGGGAAGCTACATATGAGAGGTGTCAAATATCTTAATAATATAGATTTTTTGAAAGAATTGTAGCGATTTTGGCTTAAAAAATACATCGGATGATATTCGAATTAAGTCAAAATGGTTTGTCAAGATTCATATTATTAGAAAAAAGAGGCAGCCGTCAACCTAATTATTTAATTCGCTCCAACAACGAATAAACATGAATCAATAGTAAAAAAATAAAATTACTATTTGAATGAATAAAATTTCTTAATCGTAAATAAAAATTGTCTTGAACTCATATCCTGAAAATAATTAGGCATACTTATGATATATTACTTGCGACTTGGTACTACAAGCTTTTAGCAAATTAAAGATGCTATATCACGAAGTTGGACAAGTACTCCTCAAATGGTTGTATGGTAATTGACGCATAACCTAGTTGATTTTGTAGAATTATGCATCTTGATTTAACGTAGAAGGGGACTTATTAGATATTTTTAAAATCCCAACTTTCAACTGAGGACCAGGAATAATTGTATCTCCCGGAGTTTTGCTACTAAACTTATATAAGTATCTCATATTGATTGATAAAATGGACTTTTATTTTCTTAAAATAATCTTGAATTGTCTCATTTGAAAATGTATGTGGCTGAAAATTAATTTTGTTACCACCTATTATTTAAAAAAAGTAGGAGTTAATGCTATATATTCTACTATATTATAAAAGAGAGTTTAGGCCCAAATATAATATATAATATTCAAGATTGGGAAAAGTCCCAATCTTGAATATTATATATTATATTTGGGCCTAAACTCTCTTTTATAATATAGTAGAAT